CAGGTGCGCAAAAACGAGCGCCCCAGCGACCACGCTCCCGTCATCATGGATTTGGCGCTCTAGGGCTCAGGCATGGATATCAGTTTGCACAATGGTATGAGCTTGGCGCTGGAGCAAGCGCAGGCAGCGATAGGCCTGAGCGACCCCAATCCCCGCGTAGGCTGCGTTATTACCGATGCCAGCGGCCAAGTGCTAGGACTGGGTCATACCCAAGCCGCAGGCCAAGCGCACGCTGAAATCGCTGCGCTCCAAGACGCAGCCCAGCGCGGCAACAGCGTTGTTGGCGCCTATGCCTACGTGACCTTGGAGCCCTGCGCCCACACCGGGCGCACCGGCCCTTGCTGCGTGGCCTTGGCAGACGCAGGCGTAGCGAGGGTAACGATTGCGGCCATAGACCCCAACCCGCAAGTAGCTGGGCAAGGCGCAGCCTATTTGCGCAAGCACAATATTGAAGTTATTGTTTTACCTGAAGAAGATGTATTTTCGCAAGCTGCGTATGCGCTAAACATCGGTTTTTTCAGCCGTATGCAGCGCGGTCGCCCTTGGGTGCGCGTCAAAGCTGCCAGTTCACTAGACGGTAAGACCGCCTTGCCTAACGGCGCAAGCCAATGGCTTACCAGCCCAGCGGCCAGGCAAGACGGGCAACACTGGCGCAGCCGCGCCAACACGCTTTTGACGGGCGTGGGCACGATATTGGCAGACAACCCGCGGCTAGACGTGCGCGATGCTTTTGTACAACACCAACCCGCACTAGCCGTATTGGATAGTCAGCTGCGCACCCCGCCAAACGCGCGTATTTTCGCCGCAAAGCGCCAAGTCTTGCTCTACACCTGCGAGCCGGCGTTGGCGCAAGACCCAAAGCGCTTGCAGCGTATGTTGGCATTGCAAGAAGCGGGCGCACAGATTGTGCAACTTGCCCCCGTCCAAGAGCAAAGCCTATGGGTGGATTTGCCCAGTATGCTGCAAGACCTATGTATGCGTTTATCCACCAATGAGCTGCATGTAGAGGCTGGCGCGCGCGTAAACGGCGCTTTGATGCAGGCAAACTGCGCAGACGAGTGGCTACTTTATTACGCGCCGATGATGCTAGGGCCCGGGCTGCCTATGGTGCAAACGGCTCCCATGCAAAACCTGCAAGATGCTAACCCTTTGCATTGGCACAGCTGCGAGCGCATAGGCGCAGACCTGCGGCTTATGCTGCGCAATAAAAAACTTGATAAATAATACAGTAAGCTCAAATTTTGGGCTCTTGCTGGGTCGTGCAATGTATGCCGCCCCCGCCGCCAGCTATAGCATCAATATTGAGCATGACGAGCTCTCGCTCAGGAAAAACGTCTTGCAACGCCCTTTTGGCGGCAGCGTCTGCTTTTGCATCGCCAAATTCGGGGGCAATAACAGCGCCATTACACAGGTAGAAATTGACATAACCAGCAGCAAAATCATGATGGGCAAACTTGGGTCGGATATTGGCTGGCGCTGTGAGCACCACAATTTCAAGTTTGCGCCCAGATGCATCCGTAGCGGTGCGCAGTATCTCCAAATGCCGCAGGGTCACAGCATGGTCAAAAGACTGCGCATCGCTATCGTACGCTGCTAAAACCAACCCCGGGCGCGCAAAGCGGGCGTAAAAATCCGTATGTCCATCGGTGATGTCTTTGCCTTTTATCCCAGGCAGCCAGATTATTTTTTCCAGTCCTAACAAAGGTTTAAGGATGTGTTCGCACTGCGCTTTGGTCATACCGGGGTTGCGGTTTGCATTGAGCACGCAGCTCTCGGTAATAATTGCCGTGCCTTGGCCATCCACCTCAATAGCGCCGCCTTCGAGCACGATTGCTGCTTTTTGCAGGGGTACATCTGCCTGCCTGGCCACAAAAGGTGCAACTTTCGCATCGCGCGCATAAGCTTGCTTGCGCCCCCAGCCGTTAAAGTTAAAGTTGATAGCTGCTTTGCCAGTGTTGTCAGACATTACAAAAACAGGCCCCGTATCGCGCAGCCAAATATCGTCCAAAGGACAAGCCAGCAACGTAACGCTATCGCCCATAAGTTGTTTGGCAATCGCCATATCATCCGGGCGAACCAACATGGATACAGGTTCAAAACGCGCTATAGCCAAGGCGATACTGGCCAAGGCACTTTGCACTTGCGCCAAATGTTTGCGTCCCCAAATTTCTTGACTGGCGCCAAAAGCCATCCAAGTGCGCAGATGCGCCTGCTCCTCGCCAGGCATCATCCCAAGCCCTTGCGACTTTGTTGGCAAATTTGCGTTTTGCGCCGCTAACACCTCTTCACTAGCGCCCAACAGGGTTGTTGCTGCATAAAAACTTGGCGACTGCATAAATCTACGGCGCGAGAGCATATTATGGAATTTATTGATTTTATTATTCTCGCTCATAAATAACAAACCGCTTGCGGGTAGGCTGCACCACACGCCAAGTTCCCACAAACCCTGCGGGCACGATAAACTCATCACCTGCCGTTAGCGTAAGGGCATTGCCAGCCTGGTCCGTAATCACGCTGCAACCTTCTAAAATTTGGCAATATTCTTCTTCGGTGTAGCGAATATGCCACTCTCCCACCTCGCTACACCAAACGCCGACACCAAACGCCTGGTTAGGCGACGCGTACTCC